GTGAAATAAAAATGTAACATTAACGTATACATTAAAATACATGTATATATAAATTCTTGTTGTAGTTTCTAATAATTTATAACATAATCAAATTCAGTTTAGGGGGAAACATTCAGAAGCCAAATGTTTAAAATCTGAAAGAAATAAAAGCACTAGTAATATTGTTTCCAACACCAAATTGACAATCTAACTTTTGCAAACAAAATGACTAACTACTGCCCATATGACCTGCCATCTATTCAAATAAGGAGATTCTAGAAAGCATTTAAAAATATGGAATTTGCTGTAAAAGTGAAATAATTTTATGTATCATTTTGTGTGCCCTCCATACTTCTGAAAAATCACTACAATACAAAAAAGAACCGGGCAAGAAACTCATGTATCTCAGGGTTGGTTTTAGGAAAACTTTTTTCTCTCTTCTAATTAAGTAATAAAAATATTACATAAATGTATATAGTTAAGATAAATTTTGATATTTAGATGTTTAGGCTAATCTTTAAGAGCTTAATAAAAAGTTATGGAGAGTTATGGAAAAGAAAAGCTTATCTCTAAAATCTATCTTTTGAAAATTAAGTATGTTCAAACAGAGAAATCATTTCTACACCTAGATTTATCACCTAGTCTTAAATCCGTGGTTCCTAATATACAAAAGATAAAAAATTTGCCATACCTTAGTGATGCAAAAGCACAAAAGTGACCTTCATTAGTCTTTTAAAAAAATCTTTACGTTTTTTGTATTTAATGACTCATTTTTAATTTTTATTAATCCAGCAAAAGAATAATTTGTCACTATTCAAGTGGAGTTATCTACTAGCCATTTTGCATTTAGTTATCAAACATTTATTATTCCTTAAATGAAGAAAGATAGACAAATACGATCCACAAATACATCGAAAAAACAGTCTCTCAAATCAGGTAAATGTCTATATAGTTCTCAAAGTTACAAATTAGATTTTCAATTTAACCTTTGACATTTAAATCACATATTTGTAAATAACATAAAAACTTACGTTTTTAAAACGAAAATTCTCAGGAAATTTTTTATTAAATTTAAAAGCAAAAGGAAAAGATTATTCAAAAGTAATCTACACAAGATACTATAAACCATCTGTATCTTTTTAAAGATGACCTTGATAATTTTCATACATCCTACATCTAATGGGAATTGTTCCATCATTTTTAAAATTTATTTATTATCTATTATTTATTTACATATTTTGTACTGGGGATCAAACTCAGAACGTTGAGCTTGCCAGGCAGATGCTTGTGCTGCTAAGGTATAACCCCGGCAGTTTCATCTTTTTAGAGTACATACAACAAGTTCAAATTCTCCCCCTTGTATTCTACACATTACTATAATACAAAAGCAGGGTATGTACAAGCTGAGAGATTTAAGTAAGTTTTATAATTACTACAATCATATTTGCTAATGTGATCTTCATTAGCATACTTTGTCTTACAAAATGAAACTATTCCCTTAATACATTACACAGAAAGGATTTCAACACTGCAGCTACTAGTCACAAAATACTTAATGGAACAAAGTGTGATTTATTTGGTATAGGGTCTCACCACACAGTTCGGATTCATAGTGATCCTCCTGTCTCAGCCTCCCCAGAGCTGGGATTACAGGCATGGTCACCGTGCTCACAGTTCTTTGGCTGGCACAGGTACTGAGGACCGAGCCCAGGTCCTTGGGCTTGCCAGGCAGACCTTTAGACCACCAAGCTATGTCCCCAGCCCAAACTATGATTCTGATCATACTTTTTATATAAAAGAAAAACCTGAGGTAAAACAAAGGTAAATTATTTACCAAAGACCTAAAACATAGTTCAGGGGCCAGGGAGATGGCTCAGTAGAATAAGTGTTTCCCCTGAGTTCATCCCCGGTTGTGCAAAAAAAAAAAAAAAAACCAGTTTAAACGCAAAGTAGAAAATATCAGTAGAATCTATACTAATAACCATTTACTATGGTATTAAAAATCAAACACTTAAATTCACATATAAACAAATAAATGACAAAGCAAGGAAAATTCAATAAATTTTCTGTATAGCCTGAATTACATAGAGAAGTGTGGTTTCAAAATCAAAGTTGCTAAAGATCTTGTTCTAGTGAGTTACAGATGTTAGTTGAAGGAAACATGAGAAAACAGACATATATTCAATAAAAGATCATTCTGACTCAAGAAGTTACTTTGACAGAATCTAAAAGACATACAATGAGTATAGTGTATCTCTCACCAATCACTGAAATATATCTTTATAGAAAATCAGGTCTTATTTAAAAATACCTTTTTTTTTTTTTTAAATGTATTTAGTACAGGGTTTATAGGGTCTCACTACACAGATCGGACTCGCAGTGAACCTCCTGTCTGCAGCCTCCCAAGTGCTGGAATTACAGACGTGCATTACCACGCCCGGTCTCAACTGCCCTCTCAGCATGCCCCAGGGGTGGGGCAAGTTTCTTAAATGAGAGAAACCATATAGTATTGAAGCTATGTTTGATTTATTTTATTTATGTTTGCGAAGTGTATTCATTTTCCCATAAATGTCTCGAATTTACCCTTCTTTGTAGCCCAATCTCATTCCATTATGTACACACACCATATTTTCTTTGCCCATTCATCTGTTGATGGGCACTGGCCACTTTCAAGATTCAGCTTTTGGGCCAGGGAGATAGCTCAGTTGAATAAGCGCTTGCCTGGCAAGCACAAGGTCAAGTTCAATACCCGGTACCGCAAAAAAAAAAAAAAAAGTATTAGCTGTTGTGAGTTCTGCTGCATGGGACACACAGCTATTGCTATACAATGAAATATTTTATTAAACTAAGAAGCCTCAAAAAAATTAAAAGTACCTACTTTTCTAAGACAACTAAAATATGAGATTGGCTGAAAATGACTTCATATACAATGTTTTAAAATAAAAATATTGCTCACTTTCCTAGGTTATGTGAAATACACATACAAAAACCTGATAAAATGTTTATATCCTCCTATAGGAAAAAGCCCTGAGGCATCTAGAGCTCTAAAACAATTTCAAACAATTAAAAAGAGGATCACCAGTTTTCTAAGTTTGTAACTATTGTTTCAAATTAATCATGATCCTCAACCTCATCAGCAGCCCTAGTGGCATGTTCTGAATTAACCATTATGTAAGATGGGTCTTTTAAAAAATTTTTATCTATCTATCTACCTGTCTCTCTTCCTCTTTCTTTTTGTTATTTGAGGGTTTTATTTTATTTTAATTTTTATTTTGTTTATTTTTCATCCCCAACCCTAGCAGCATGGATTAAATATTATATAAAATTATTTTTTATTTATTTTTACAGTTTCATATACACTATTATTTTATGCTGCTTGGCATTTCATTTTCACACATTTCAAAATTTATATTGTCATCAAAATTATTCATGTGCATTTAATTTAATTTAAGAACATGGAATGCCATGACCCTAAACTTAATCTTTAAGACAGCTTCCACAGTATTCCACATTATGTTAAAAGACATTAACCCAAAATTCTGAAATTTCTTAGAGCACTTTGGACCTTTTGCTTTTTGCTGTAATTTTTACTTTCTTCCTACATTAATAACAGTAATTCACAAATTTAAAATTGCATGCCTTCATTAGATAAACAAAAGCAGCTTTTTGTTTTGCATTACTGGGGACTGAAGCCCGGCCTCCACCGTCTGACTGAGCTGCAACCCCAGCCCTTTCTATCGTGAAACAAAGAATCACTAAATTCCCCAGGCTGGGCCAGGATCCAGGACCTGGCAGGCTGCTGGAATCACAGGCCGCACCACCACGAACCACTACTGAACATGTATTCTTTTTTTTTCCTGTATTTCAGGGCAGGGTCTACAGGTGTTCAGGGTCTCACCACTAGATGGGACTCCTAGTGATCCACCTGCTCACAGCCTCCCGAGAGCTGGGATTACAGGCGCCATCACTCCCAGTCTACTGCTGTCTCAGCACGCCCCAGGCGAGGCCAGCAGGCAGGCCGGGGGATGGAACCCCTGGCCCACCCCTGTGCCTGCTTGGAGGCGCTTTAATCTGCTGGGCTATCTGGCCGGCCCTAAACACGAATTTCTAATGACTAAAACAAATAACATCATTTCAAAGTCATATAACTCAAAAAAATGTTGTACAATGTAAATTTATTGTTTTAAATGTTAAATTTTTGTGTCCTCAGTTGCTTTAATATTTTACCAAAAGACAAATTTGGTAAGACATGAAAGACATGGGGAAGGGCACACTTTCTTGCCCGCTGCCACTGTTCTCTTCAAAGGCTGACGCTTCTTTTAAACGAGGTCTCTATGCTGACCGCTCACTCTCAGTCCCACCTAACATGTGGGACAAACGGCTGAATGCAAAGTCGCTGGGCCCTCAAGAACATCTAGGCAGCAGCCGCTGAGATTCCTCATGAGCATTATGTTTAATTATAAAATGAAAGTACCAAAACAAAAGAAACAAACAAAGAGGAAAACAAAAACAAAACAAAATCTACCTAGGCCATCTTTTCACCTTTCTTTATTTCATAAGAGAGAAGCATTTAACACATTCATTTGAAAAGCAATAAGGATATGCTAATGAAGCTCTTGCCAATAAAATCTGCCTTATCATCAATGCTGATATCAAGTTGTATACTGCCCTAACACACCTTAGCAACTACGGTTTTTTTAATGAGACAAAGCAATAATCCTAGCACAAAGTTTTTAGAACATTATTATTTTTGTGGCCTCTCTATACAAAGCACTGTCAACTTTTGTCACGAGAAAATTAATTGTACTGTGCTCCAAATCCAGATTATCATTCTTACTTAATCTAAATACAGAGTATGTATCATGTTAATAAATGGGTAATTATCTGTTCCCAAAGTAGTGTTACCACTAAATAAGCATCTATGAAGACTTAGGCTGCCAATTTTTTTTTTTTTTCCATTTTATCTGTGATGAGAAAAGAATGACCATGGGCTAAAGCCAAAGGTTCAGCACCTGACTTACCTGACAAGATTTTCATTGTCTCCTGTTCCTTTGCACGTTGCACATTCGGTTCTTAAGTCTTCAGCCTTGGGCTTCTTCTGTAATACCGACTGTCTTTGTCTTCTCTCTCTAGGAACTCTCTCCTGTCATACATGAAAGAATGAAATAAAAAAAAATTAAAATCTGAGGCAAACAAGTAATTTAAGTAAGAAAGTTTCTCAAAAACTGCAAAAAGTGCTTAACTTATTCCAACCTCATGTTTTTCTTCCTCAGGAACAAAGCTTCGTTTCCGACCTCTGGTTCTCTAAAAGAAAAGAAAATCAAATAAAAAAAATCTAATGTGTAACTAATGACAAAAATAAATTTTCTCTTAAATGTTACTCCTTAAGTTACATTTGGAAAATTATTATTTCTAATTAATATTATATTGTTCCATTGCATTTTATTAGAATTTATGACATCCAGAGGAAATCCTAACAAAATAAACATACTTAAAAAGGATTTTTGTTCACACTGTGATTCATGGACTTCTTGTAGTCTCTTGCTACTTTTTGAAGTATTTTTCTTTTCCTGGTTCCTAGTCGCATTCCTGTCTTCTAGATCTGATATTCTATCCCTACCTTCATTCAATTTGCTGTGTATACTCTCGATATAGTTTTTAATGTCTTGCATTTCTGTTTGGATCTGTTTCATTGATTCCTGTTATTTGTTCGGCATTCATTCTTCCAATCATTTTCCTGAGCGTCTCTATTTGTTTATGTTTCCTTTAATGTCTTTTATTTTGGTGGTCTTTTTTTTTTCACTCAGAGATTCTTTTTCCTATTATCTCTTCCAGTTGTTTTTTTCATTTCTCCTGCTGTCAGTTCAGAGAATTCCATTTGTTGGCTTCTGACTTTCTCTCTCTCTCTTTGTGCTCCAGACCTGGGTAAGCTGGGTGTTTGGGACTATATCTTGCTTCTGCATATTATCATTTTCTGTTTTCTATTTCACTTTGTTCTCTGTACTGATGTTTAGAGATTTCTTATGTTATCATAGCCTCACCACTTGTCTAGAGGCTTTCCTAGGAGATGTGTGTCCCTCTGGATGTCTTCTAGATGTAGGCGGTTCTGTCTATCTCCAGAGCTTGCCTTCCCAATACATTAGTTACTATCTATTTGTCTTAGGTTCATTCCTTTGGTACTGAACTACTGTGATGGTTTTGACCCCTTACAATCACATCGTTATCTTACCTTATAACAAAGCTTTTGCACAACAAAAGAAATCACACTGTAACAAGCCAACCCACAGGGTAGAAAAAATTTTTAGCCAACTATCCCTCAGACAAAGGACTTATATGTAGAACATATAAAGAACTGATAAAACTCAGACCCCCCCCCTTTCAAAGACCCAATTCAAAAATGGGCATCTGAGATGGATACACACTTCTCTGATGAAATACAAATGGCAAATACATGGAAAAATGTACAACACCACTGATTTGAGAAATGCAAATTAAAACAACACTGAGATTACATCTCACTCCCAAAAGAATGGCTATCATCAAAAAATCAACTGATAACTAATGCTGGTGGGGCTGTGGGGAAAAAGAAACTCTACTGCTGGGGGTAGGGACCTGTGCACTGGTACAACCACTGTGGAAATCAGTGTGGAGATTCCTTAAGTACCTGTGATTAGAGGTCCTCTTTAACCCAGCTATTACCCTTCTGGGTATCTTCCCAGAAAAATTAAAAACATCACACCACTGCAATATATGTGTACTCATGCTTATAGCAGCACAATTTATAATAGTTAAATCTTGGAAACTACCCGAATGCCCGTAAACTGAAGAATGAATGAAAAGATGTGGTTTTTAGGAATATATAATGGAGAACTACTCAATCATAAAGAATGATTAACTGGAAACTTTTATAGGTAAATTGGTGAAATTTGAGACCATATTCACAAGCAAAATAAATCAGAGCCATATTTGTAAATATCCCAGTAGTGGGAGAAACTGAACTAGTAAATGAGATCCAAAATACACAAGATACTGCAAATTGGGAAAAAACTATTCAAAAGACAAACTATGGTGGGAGAAAGGGAAATAAGAAAAATAAAAAGGAAAACAAAAAAATATATATTTATACACAAAATACTTAAGATAGTTATATGTAACTAGTTCCTCTTAGTTTATTGAAAAGAAAGGTCTGTGCTAACAATGGACAAGATGTCCTGCCTCTATCTTATACTCTGAGTAAGTACTACAAAGACAACACTCCCCTACTAGCCTACATTTAAACTTTTGTTATCTTTCTCTTTAAAATAGAAAATAATAAAATGCTTATAAATATAAATTAACAACAATAAATTAACCCAAGCTATACTAAATGTTTTGTTTTGATTTTGTGGTACCAGGGATCAAACTCAGGACCTTGAGCTTACCAGGCAGGCACTTACGCCGCTAAGTTATATGCCTGGCCTGACGGTGTTTTGCAATACTTTACTTGCTACACAATTATGATTTACGTGGTGCATTTAAATTTTCATAACTCATCTAATGACTTCTATAACTGAATGCTAACAGAATCGGACAGCCTATCACATCTACTGTTCACCCCTATCCAGGAACATACATGCTCTTGCAATGTAAATAACAATGCTTAAGTAACCATTAAAAGAGGGAGAAAATAATCTCAAATCCTGGAATCCTAATTCTTTTTTGTATTTTAGGGAAGAGTCTACAAGGTGTTCAGGGTCTCTTTACTAGATGGGACTTGTAGTGATCTGCCTGCTTACAGCCTTCCAAGAGCTAGGATTACAGGTGTGTGCCACCACACCCAGTCTTAATTGCTGGCTCAGTGCGACCCTGGGGCAGGGCCAGCACCACAGGCCTGGGTATTGAACCCAGGGCCCCTGCCCCCGCTTGCAGGCACTTTAATCTGCTGAGCTATTTGGCAGCCCCTGGAATCCTTTTTTTTGCCTTATCAGGGATTGAACTCAGGACCTTGCACTTGCCAGGCAGGCTCTTATTCTACTGAGTTATCTCCCTGGCCCTGGAATCCTAAATTAAAGTAAACTGATGAAAGGAATTCAGTTAAATTTCACACCTCATTGTCTTAACTCAAAAATGAGGCCGGCTCGAAAAGAAAAGAAGTGCTTTGTTTTAGCTGGTACCGAGCGGCAGACAGCCCGGCAAGATGCCGAGGCGCGCGCCGGAGGATGAGGGGAGCGGGTATGTAAGCCGATACCCCAGCAAAGCTGCCGCCAAGGGTTCATCGAGGGGCTACAGCTGAAAAAGTACTTGTTTCTAACGAACAATAACAGGTGCAGTGGTGGGTACAGTTTGTGGCGGGGAACGAGGGCAAGATCAGGGCATCGGGCCGGAACTAGATTCAGGTGCGCACAAAGGGCAGCGTGAGAAAGGCCCAACTGCAGGTTCTCAAGCAGAGAGCGGGCCCAGCGGGAAGTCACAGCATTCAGAAGGGCGCATGCAGAGCAAGATGGCGCGCCTACGTCGGGTTATAGCAGTCAGTAAAGTTGCAGTGGAAGCATACACTTACAAAATTGGATCAATTGCACAGGTTATAACACTCGTATTTCAGAACACATTTGTCATCCAATCTTCAAAAGTAACATTTAGTACAATAGTCCTTATAGCTAGTATGTATAAAACTTCCATTCAGGGGCTGAAGGAATAGCTCAGTGGCACATCTGCCTGGCAAGCACAAGGTTCTCGGTTCAATTTCCAGAACCAATAAAAAAAGTCTCCATTTAAATAGCACAGCCTCTGTAGATTTATGATCTCCAAACGAAGACCACTGTTCTTTAGAGACTGGAGAAATACCACTTATCTTAATTATTTTTCTTGTTGCTAAGACAAAGTGCCTGACATCCAAAGTTAAAGGAGAAAAAGTTTATTTGGCTCAGTTTGTAGAGGTTTCAGTCTGTAATTGGCTGACTCCAAGGAAAGGAGGGCAGAAAGTTACAGAGCAACAAGGGATGACCCCCGCTCTTTCTATCCTTGGTATCTTATCCAGCCTACTGTATTCTTCTCTTCTCTTTCTGCAGTGTGATTTCATTATTCAAGGCTTCAATTTCAGAAAAAAACTGATCTTAAAATTGGTAAGGGAGATGCAACACATTCATTTTACTATGCCAAATTAAATTTCATCATATTATATGAAGAATCAAGAATTTTGTTTTAACACAGACTGAAAATTTTTCATATTTAGAGATTTTTAGATTTTAGAATATTGGCAGACTTTTACCAGCTGAACATTTTGTTTTTTAACTTTATGTATTTATTAGTACACAGTCTCACTGTGCAGGTCAGACTCATAGTGATCCTCTTGTTTCAGACTCCCCAGAGCTGGGATTACCGGTGAGCGCCACCACGGCCAGTTTCCGTGCCGACTGGGCTTGCCCAGGGCAGGGTGGGTGCAGCTTGCATCGCTAGGGATCGAACCTGGGTCCCTGTGCTTGCCAGGCAGGCGCTTAGACTGCTAAGCTACCTCCCAGCTGGGAATGTTCGTTCGTTCGTTCGTTCGTTCGTTCGTTCGTTCATTCATTCATTCATTCATTCATTTGGTACAGAGTCTTGCTATGCAGCTGGGACTCATAGTGATCCTCCTGTCTCAGCCTCCTCAGCTCTGGGAGTACAGGGGTGTGCCACCACATCCAGTTTCAGTGGCCAGCACAGCGTATACAAGGCTCCAGGGCAGAACAGCATGTGGTACCGGGCACCAAACCCAGGTCCTTGCCACCCGGACTGCTGAGCTGTTGTCCCAGCCCAGGTGAACATTTTTAAACTTAAGTAAAAAATACACTGAAGTCTGACTACCAAATCTGAGACTGAGTGCTGATACTCAGAAAAATTCAAATTCTGAGGCCTTTCATATTTATGTATTTCACTAGTTTAGCCTACTTATGTGATGAATAACTAGCTATGCCTAGTTTAGCCTAGTTATGTGATGGGTAACTTTCTGGCAGGTGTTCAAAATACCTGAGTAGTAAGTCTTTTTTTTGAAGTACTGGGGATCAAACTCAAGGCCATGCACTTGCCTATGCCTCAGCCCCAGTGAGTCTATTCTTACATACATACGGACATATGTATCAATATACAGTTACTAAAGTTGCCAGTGGTGAAACTGTATTGAAGGCAAATCACAGATTAAAATTCCTAACACATTAAAAGAAAATGCTGTATATTTTTATGCACATGGGAACAAAAGTGTGAACCAAGTGCCCTCTGTTTCTGTTAGGTACCAAGCATCAACAGATGCAACGGTCATCACCTAAAGTGACGTTTCCTTTCTGGTCAGTAGG